AGGCTGCTGAAGTGGAGTGCGCCAAACTTAACCACTAGGCCATGGGGCCAGCCCCTGTGAGATGGTATTCTTAATTTCCAAGAGCTCTTTCTTGCTCTATGATTGTATATGATTTATATAATTCTGTTTTTGTTTCATATGCCATACATCTTTTATATCTATTAGATATTGATAATAGTGGTAGGGGACCTGTTAAGTCCCCACGTTATCTGCTTTCCTGGTATCATGAACTTTTTCCTCACAGCACTTGGGTCAGTAGTGATTTCATTCATCTTTGTCATTTCCTCTAAATGTCCATCTCTCTCATGAGAGTGCAATCTCCATATCACCAGGGTATTATTCTTGCTCTTCACTGTATCTCCAGTCTAGCTGATCCTGATCCACTGGAGGCCTCAAAATATATGCTGGATGATGGACTTTAGTGTGGTTTGGGCAGTTAAATCAGACTGCCCCTTGACTGTCCTCCTCAGCTCTGAGCCTAGCTGCCTCCGATCACAGAATATTCTGGAACACTGCAACAATTCACTTGCATGGAGTGCAGAGTCATATCCACCACCTGAGGGACAGGGAATCAATGGAAGATGAGTCCACGAAGCTCTGAGAGAAAATTCCTGGGTTCAACCTTGGCTCCACCACCTCCTAAACCTCTCAGTCTCCCTTTTCCTGTTCATACAAAAGATCACATGTTGGGTGCCTCAGGGTTTTGCTTTGAGGATTAAATCTGACCCTCTATGTATATCATATGGTATTAATCCCTGAGACATATTAAGTGTTCCTCTAGTCATAGTTACCATCATTACAGTGATTACAGCATTTAGATAAGTTCCATTCTTTGTTTTTATAAACCATAATTCAAGAAACATCCTTGACTATATACTTTTGAGAACATGTGTGATTATCTTCTTAGGATAAATTTCTAAATGAGAAATTTCTGTGTCAAAATGTAAACACGTTGAAATTATAGAGACATTTTTCAAAAGTGCCAGTTTTCAATCCCATCAATCTTTATGACAATACATTTTCCCTACCCCCTGGTAAATACTCTCATCACTTTCATCTTTGCCAAGCTGATGGATTTGAATTTTTATTCCCATTTCTTATTCCACATGCCCATTTTGTTTACATTTATTTATTACTAATATATTTGTTTGACATTGTCATTTCTTCTTTTCCAAATTGTTTTCTAATATTTCTAATATTCTTTAATTATTTTTTGATTCAGTTGTAATTATTTTAAAATATTGAATTTAGAAAGAAGAAAAAGCAGCCTCAACATCGGGAACAGGTCTGACACTTACACCTAGGCCTCAGTGTTGTCAGAAGCTGGCCTGGTCCTCACCACCTGGCATGTTATTCTTTTGTTGGATGTAAGTCACCTCACTGAACATCCACATCAGACAAGGACACTCTGAGAACACGACAAGTGAGACAAATCAAGACCACCACATCACTTCTCTAAGCACAGACAAAAACAAGGCACTGTGCAACTCCAAAATACCAACATCTCCCTGTGCTGGCTCGAATGAGCAGCTGCTGCTTCTTTCTAGTTACAGCTGTATCCTTGCTCTAGTCGGCCCTGTCTACAGACAAGACCTATTGAATGCCCAATCATAGAATTGCCCCCACTTCCTGACAACACCCAATCTAGAGTGAGCCCCTGCCTCCACAGACCTTCCCAAAATCACGCAACCAAAGCCCAAATCCTATACATGTTCTAACACCTTCACACTGAGATGCACAGTCATCCCCAATGGTGTGTTTTCTCCCTCGCAGCAAGTAATAAATCCAACTTGTTTGCCCACAGGTGTGCTCCTGGTGGTCTTTGGCTGAAGGACATTGAGGTGCGTTATTACCAGTTGTCTGTCAAAATTTGTTATGTGTCTTTGAGTTTGATGATGGGCGTGTGTTTGTCTTTGTGAGTGTGTGGTTGACACAGACAAGTTTTATGTTTTTCTTTATGGTTTTTCATCTTTGGGTCATGCTTAGGGAACTCTTCATTCCACAACTGCAAAAATTTCAGGTATATTTTCATCTAGGAGAGGGGTCCAAGGGCGAAGGGAAACAAAGAGAACTGTTTGAATTTGGGGGGAAAGTACGAGGAGGAGCAATAGGTAAAGATTCTGAGGAGGGGGAATTCTAAGGTTTACATCTTCGCTCTATAATTTTACAAGTATGTGCAGGGCCTACAAGGGATCTGATACACGCTGTGTTGAATAAATGCTTTCTCCTGGGCTAAGTCAAGACTTATGTCCCTGCTGATGTTTACCAGGTTAATGAAAACAAAACACCAAGAGTCCTAATGTGATATACACCAGGATTAGGTGATGGGCATTTTTGAACACTTATGATGTTAAAGTGATAAATCACATTTCGGCTAATGTCTGTACACTCTAGTTATTAAAATACATATTAATTATACTTTCTTGGGCATGCTGTATTTTAAGGACATGCCTAAGATCCACATGGACAAATCCATAACACCCATATGAAGATAATTTTAATATACATCAGCCTATGAGTCATACAGTATCTTTTGTGGGTGAGAAGGCCGAAAACTAAGAACATTCTAGATACGCACTGTCCAATATGGTAGCTACTAGCCATTTATGGTTATTTAAATTTAAAGTAAATAAAATCAAAAATTCAACTGCTCAGCACAGTAGCCACATTTCAAGTGCTCAATAGCCACATGTAGCTACTGGCTCCTGTATTGGACAGTGCAGATATAGAACAATTCCTTCATCATGGGATGTTCTATTGGACAGTACTGCTCTTCATAATTTGTGGGCCTCAAATAAGATGCATTAGGGCCCATGTAAAATGAAAGGACCATATTATTTCTCCTAGAGATACATCAGATTTCTGTCTGAGACATGAATACATATTAAGCTGGTGTATAACAAAACCAAAATAGGTTATCAGTGGGTCAAGCGCCTTCAGGCACAAACTGTTCCCAGTTTCAAAGGGAAACACCTGTCCTTCCACCTCCCTTCCCAAACTGAGGACACTCTCTGGCATCAAATTTCCAGGGGATGAGTTCTCTTCTAGAGGAGACCAGGGGCAAAGCTCTAAGCTAAGTTTTGGGAAGCAACGAGTCCAAACTCAGGGAGAGGGATTCTGGGAAATGAAGAGGAGACAAAGGTGGGGACCAGTTGAGAGACTCTCCCTGGTTTATTCAGAACAGCAGTTCTCAAAGTGTGGTCTGTGGGACCCTTGAAGTCACTGAGACCCTTTCATGGGATCCATGAGGTCAAAACTATTTTGATAATATTACTAGACATCATTTGCCTTTTCACCATATTGACATTTGCACTGAGGTCACACTTAGGAAGAGTGGAGGCTGTGGTACCAAACTGCAATAGTAGTTATCTTCACCACCACTTACTCACAAAAAAAAAACAAAAAACACTTTCACTTTAAAATGTCCTGAAGCATTAAAAATTATTATCTTTACCAAATCATTACTCTTAGGTCCACATTTTAAGAATATCTTATATGATGACGTGGGAAGTACAGATAAAGCTTCTGCTACATTCCCATGTGCTATGTCCCAAGGAAAGTAATTTGTGTGAGCTGAGCTAGCCTCTTTTTTTTTTCTCTGAGGAAGACTCACCCTGAGCGAATATCTGTGCCCATCTTTCTCTATCTTGTATATGGATCACAGCCACAACATAGCCAACAAGTGCTGTTGGTCTGCACCTTGGAACTGGGCCTGGGCCGCTGAAGTAGGGTGTGCTGAACTTAACCACTAGGCCACAGGGCCGGCCCCTGAGCTAGCCTCGTTTTTATGGAATACCATTTTTACTTAAAAGAGTGGATGACAGAAGCTATGATTAGATTTGGTTAATTGTCATACACTTTCTCAAAATGAACGTGAGCTTGTCCCTTCAAGAAAATCCACCGAGGGTTGACAACTTATTGCTTTGATAAAATGGAAGCTCTCAAAAGAAAACCAGAATTTTGGAAAACTTGTGTCCCACTAGGTAAGCCTGACAGCTTCCCAGCACTGACAAACTTTCCTGTTGGGATCTGTGGTAACATTAACAAAGGCAATATTTTGATAATTTGTAGTTGAACACATCGACAAGGGAAGATCTATACAACTAGTGAAACAATGTATTACTTTTAAAAATTATACATTAGTACAAGAGCCATTCAATATGCAAAATAGACCTGTGGGTTTTAATGTAATGGAATAGGAAATACTCAATGATATTGTTTCAGGTTTCACTTTGCAAATGACCACTGAGAAACTAGCACTTGTGTAGTTTTAGTATCAAAGTTGAATATCCACAATTATCTGGAAAGGTTATTAAAAATACCACTCCTACATATTTGTGTGAGGCTGTATTTTTTTCAACCAATATAAGACATTAAATGCAGAACATATATGAAAATCCAGTGATCTTCTAATGAGACAGACAAAAAACAGAGTTGCAAAAATGTAAAAAATTCCATTCTTCTTACTACCTTGTTTATTTGAGGAAGTAGTTATTTTTCATAAAAACATTATTTCTGTTAACTTGCAATGGGTTATGAATATTATTCTAAATAAATTAACAAAAATATTTAAAAACTTTTATTCCTAGTATGGTAAATATTGACAGATATAACCAAGATAAACAAAATTACCTTGGGGTCCTCACTAATTTGTAAGACTGTATAGATATCCTGAAGCCACAGTGTTTGAGAATCGCTGACTCAGCCTCTGGTCCAGGCCCCAGCGAGAGAGTGTGACAAAGAGCTCTCGGGGCAGGAGGAGAGGGATCAGGGCAAAGTCCCCGGACGCGGCTTCAGGGTCTCAGGCCCGAGGGCGGTGTCTGGGGCGGGGAAGCTCAGTGTTGGGGAGTCCCCATCGCCCTGAGTTTCACTTCTCCCTCTCACAACCTGTGTCAGGTCCTCCTGCCTGGAGACTCATGACGCGGCCGCAGTTCTCACTCCCATTGCGTGTCCGGTTTCTAGAGACGCCAATCAGCGTCTCCGCGGTTCCAGTTATAAAGTCTCCACCACCGTCCGGAACTCAGATTCTCCCCAGACCGCGAGGATGAGAGTGATGATGCCTCCAACCTTCCTCCTGCTGCTCTCGGGGGCCCTGACCCTGACCGAGACCTGGGCGGGTGAGCGCGGGGTCGGGAAGAAACGGCCTCTGAGGGGGGGGACTGAGGGGACCGCGCGGCGGGGGCGCAGGACCCCCGGGGAAGGCGCGTCTCCGCGGACACCCGCCCAGACCCCTTCACCCACCTCATCCCTCCCTGTCCTGACCCCCACCTTCTCCCGCCCCCTCCTGTCACCCACTTGGGTCTCCCGCCCCCCTTTTTAGTCTCACGACCCCCTCGCCGTCTCCCCCCTCCCGGCCCCATCACCCTCGGACCCGGGACCCGCGGGGAGGAGGGTCGGGCCGGGTCTCAGCCCCTCCCCGCCCCCAGGCTCCCACTGCATGAGGTATTTCTACACCGCCGTGTCCCGGCCCGGCCGCGGGGAGCCCCGCTTCATCGCCGTCGGCTACGTGGACGACACGCAGTTCGTGCGGTTCGACAGCGACGCCGCGAGTCCGAGGATGGAGCCGCGGGCGCCGTGGGTGGAGCAGGAGGGGCCGGAGTATTGGGAGGGGGAGACGCGGGTGTTCAAGGACCCCGCACAGGGTTTCCGAGTGGGCCTGAACACCCTGCGCGGCTACTACAACCAGAGCGAGGCCGGTGAGCGACGCGGGCCCGGGTCCAGGTCACGACCCCCCACCCCCACGGACGGGCCGGGGTCTCCCCGAGTCTCCGGTCCGAGATTCACCCCGAGACTAGGGGACCCGCCCAGTTCCCCGACCCGGGAAGAGCCGGCGGGGACTTTTCCGCGGTTTCGTTTTCAGTTTAGGTTTAATCTCTGCGGGTCGGGGCGGGGGCGGGGCCGAGTGGGCGGGGCTGACCGCGGGGCGGGGTCAGGGTCTCACACCCTCCAGACAATGTACGGCTGCGACGTGGGGCCGGACGGGCGCCTCCTCCGCGGGTACAGGCAGGACGCCTACGACGGCGCGGATTACATCTCCCTGAACGAGGACCTGCGCTCCTGGACCGCGGCGGACACGGCGGCGCAGATCACCCGGCGCAAGCGGGAGGCGGGCGGTGAGGCGGAGCAGGAGAGGAGCTACCTGGAGGGCGAGTGTGTGGAGTGGCTCCGCAGATACCTGGAGAACGGGAAGGAGACGCTGCAGCGCGCAGGTACGAGGGCCCACGGGGCCTCCCGGTCTCCACTCGGGCTGGGCTGACATCCCACAGAGGGGAGGGAAATGGGATCAGTGTCAGAATCCCGCCCCTCGGGAGAGGGAGGAATCCACCGAGGCTTCCATATTCTGTACGAATGACTCGCGGAGAGGCCCGCCCTTCTCTAAAAGACAGTTAAGGAATCCAGTTTCTTCAGAAATAGAAGGGAAGACCATCCCTGAAATCGCCCACCACAGGTTCCTTTTGATTCTGGCAGCCATCTTGTGGCTGCCATCTTTCTGTCTCAAGGCCTTGTTCTCAGCCTGAAAACATCTTTGCAGGTCCAAATCCAGTTTTTCTGAGTCATTCATCCTCCACCAAGGTCAGGACCATTAGTCCGTGTTCTTCTCCTTTGAGACCTGGAGCCTCCTACCCTGGGGTCTCACACTGATTCTAGAACTTTTCAAGGAATTGGAGAGTATATCCCAGATCTCCAAGTCCGAGCTGGTGTCTGTGTTTTGTGTCTCCTTTTTCCAAACCAATCATCCTATCCATTCTCAGGATGGTCACATGAGTGCTGTTTTAGTGGCCCATGGAGGTAACTGAAAGTTGAATTTTCGATTCTTCATTCTCAGAAGCCCCAAAAAGACACGTGACCCACCACCCCGTCTCTAACCGTGAGGTCACCCTGAGGTGCTGGGCCCTGGGCTTCTACCCTGCGGAGATCACCCTGACCTGGCAGTGTGATGGGGAGGACCTGACCCAGGACACAGAGCTTGTGGAGACCAGGCCTGCCGGGGACGGGACCTTCCAGAAGTGGGCGGCTGTGGTGGTGCCTTCTGGAGAGGAGCAGAGATACACCTGTCGTGTGCAGCATGAGGGGCTGCCTGAGCCCGTCACCCTGAGATGGGGTAAGGAGGGAGACACGGGCTTAGAGCCTCTTCTCAGGGATAGCAGGAGTCCTTCTGGAGACCTTCCTCAGGGATGGGGCTGAGGCCTGGGGGTCAGAGCCCTCACCTTCCCTTCCCTTCCCAGAGCCACCCTCTGAGTCCACCTTCCTCATTGTGGGCATCATTGCTGGCCTGGTTCTCTTTGTGGTCATTGGAGCTGTGGTGGCTGGAATTGTGATCCGGAGGAAGAAGCACTCAGGTAGGGAAGGGGTGTGGTGTGAGTTTTCTTGTCCCACTGGGGGATTTCAAGCCCTGGGTAGAAGTTTGCCCTGCCTTACTAATAGAAAGTACCATCCACACACACGTGCTTGTCCACTCTGGAGCTGATTGCTGACACTCTTTTGTAAAGCACTTGTAAAAATGAAAGACAGATTTTTTCACCTTGATAATTCTGGTGCTGGGGACCTGATTCCTGCAACTGGAGGTCAGAGGAAGGTCCCTGGTGAGGACAGAGCTCTAGGAGGGCAGTTGGTCCTACCCCCACACATGTTCTTTCTTCATGTTTCCTGAGGCTGTCTTGGGTCTTCAGTCATGGTTCTGGAAAATTCCCTGTGGTCCAGGACTAGGGAGTTCCTAGGATCTCATGACCGAGGCTTCTCCCTGTTTTCTTCCCACAGGTGAAAAAAGAGGGGGCTACACTCAGGCTGCAGGTAAGTTTGAGTGGGGAGTTGATCCCTGAGACACATGTGATAGTGTGGTCGGAGCCTATGGGGGAGCTCACCCACCCCATAGTTCCTCCTTTAGTCTGTTCTCCTGTGGGCTCTGACCATGTCCTGTTTTGTTCTACCCCAGGCAGCGACAGTGCCCAGGGCTCTGATGTGTCTCTCACGAATCCTAAAGGTGAGACCCTGGAGGCCTGAACTGGGGGAGGAGTTGGGTCAGAGGGGACAGGACTGGGTTATGGGAATTCTTTGAGTGGGACATACTGAGCTTGTGGTGGGCTGTTGAGAATGTTAACACTTATGTGACTGACCTGAATCTGTTCATGATTATTTTCTCTCACAGTGTGAGACGGCCGCCTTGTGGGGCACTGAGGGATGCAGGATTTGTTCAGGCTCCCACTTTGTCACTTCAAGATCCCCTGACTCCTCTTTCTGCAAGTGGCATCTGAATGTGTCTGCGTTCCTATTAGCATAATGTGAGGAGGTGGGGAGATTGGCCCACCTCCTGCCCACCACTCCCTACCCACACTGCCCTGTGTTCTTTCCCTGATTGACTTTTCCTGTTCCAGCAGAGGCTGAGCTGGGCCATCCCCATCCGTGTCTTAACTTCATGTTGGGCTGAGTAGTAATGATTTGCTTTCTTATTGAAAATAAGAATCTGGATATGAATTTCTTTTTTCTAATTCTTGTCATAAGGAGACTTGCACACAGGAGACTCTGGTATGGAGATATGTTAATTAAAGGAGAAATTTCCTAAAGTTTGAGAGAGGAAATAAATGGAAACACTGATAACCTTCTAAAATTCATGTGTTGACTGTGCTGAGTCTGGTGCGGGTGGGAACAGGAGAGACTGAGGAGCCAAGTGTGGACGGGGCCTGTGCCCTGTCACTGCTCCGTGCATCGTGAGCTGTGACGTGCTCCCTCCTCAGCTGGGTCATCTCTCTGCTTGTTTGTTCTGGTCCCCTCAGTAGAACCTTGTCCCACCAAGACTTGTCATCACAGCAACTCATGTGTTTATCACCTGGGCACTGTCATGTCTTCAGGACCGTGGGCAGCGAGGGGTGCCTGTGGCTGGGTCAGCCTAGTCTCAGGCCTAGGTCCAGACCTCAGCCCCGACCATTTCTGTGTTTATGTTTTGTTTGTTTGGGTTTTTTTGGTTTTTTTTCTTTTTTTTTTTTTTTGGATTATTACTGTTCTTTTTCATGATTAGCATGATTTCATTCTCCTCTGGGTGTCCTCCGTCTCTGACAGCAGCAGGAGTCATTTGGCCTGTCATTGTCCCCACAAGGCCCAAGTGGCCCTTGCACACAGGAGACTCTGGTATGGAGAGAGAAATTTTCGGACTCATCCAGCTCTTGCCCTCTTTCTAGGGCTGTTTCCTGGATTGTTCTTTCCACCTTTTATCTCTTCTTAAAGATTCTAGCATTAGCAGAGAGGAGGGATCCTATAGTTTCTTATCTTACATAAATTCCTGTTGGGTTTCTACCTTCTCTGCAGCCTACTCCTTCTCTCTGCCCTCAGCTCTAGTCATCCTGGTGCTGGCTCAGATCCAAACTCATGGATTTACAAAGTTGAGCCTACTTTAGATTCACAGTTGGTTGGGAAATAGGACCCATAAGTGTAGGACTGTGCTTTCTGAAGAGAGAAATACAATTGTGTGTGTGTGTGCATGAGGGTGGCTGTGGGAGGGAGGGGTGAGCAGCACTTGTGAGAAAAGTCCAGGTGGCATTGATGTCGGTGTGAGTGGACGTTGTGCTGTAGCTGCGACAAAATAGCATGTGGCCTGAGGTTACGTTAATAAAGATACTGTCTCTAGAATAGGGAGGTGCTCTACACTGAGCATTCATTCAGCTGATTAATTGTGTGCCAGATATATGACAAAATAATTTTGCATCTAGGAAAACTCAGTGAACTACAAGCAGGCAAAAATTGCTGGCCTTGTGGAGCATGTGTTCTAGTGGTAAGGGGCAGACTGTATGCTACAACCATAGTAAATAAGAGAGGTGTTGATGTTAAAAGTTTAAGTGTTTTGAGGAAGGTGACCCAGACTATAAGAGTGTGGGGACAGGGAAGATGACTGTTTTCCTAGGGTGGTCAGTGTGGGCCTCATTGGGACAGTGACCTTGAGTAAAGACTTGAAGGACACGAAGGAATTATCCAGGAGGATGTCTGGGGGAAGTTCTTTCCAGTCAGGGGAACCTCCAGTGCAAATGCACTAGGGCAGGAGTGTCTGTGTGTTCAAGGAAGAATGAGGAGACTGGTGTGCGGGAGCAGAGAGTAATTGAGATGAGGTCTGAATTACATCCAGGTTATGTAGGCCTAGAGGATATTGGAAGGTGTTGACTTTTCTCTGAGTAAGAGGTGCAGTCACCAGATGATTTTGAACAGAAGATCGACCTAGTGTGACTTCTCTTGAGAAGCATCAGTCTAGTGCTGTGCAGAATCAAGAGGTGAAGGTGGCCAACCAGTAGAGAAAACGAGGAAACTAATGCCGTGTTCCAGGCTAGAGATGTTGGTTGCTTTGTCTGGGGTGTGAGCAGAGAAAAGAATATGAAGTGATTGGATTCTGGATACATTTTGAAGATGGGCTTTACAGCATTTCCTAATGAATTGTCTGAGTTATGAGGAAGAGGATCAAGGAGGACACCCCAAATTTCAGACTGTGTAAGTATAAATATGGAGTACCTTCAGTGGAAATGGAGAGGACTCTAGAAGAAACACATTGGAAGAAGCAGCATCATAGACATCTAATTAGGAAAGTCAAAACAGATGTCTATTAGATGCAAGTGAGGTTAGTTTTAGCAGTTGGATATGGAAGCCTGGAGTTAGAAGACATGTCTGGGGTAGAGAAATAGATTTGTTAGGTGACACCATATGAATGATATTTAAAGCCTTGAGAACTGATTAGGTCACAGAGGGAATGATGGCTATCTAAGACAAAGAAACAAGGACTGAGCCCTGGACCCCCAGTGCTAAGGGATCTGATCAGACCACACACCCAGGGCAGACTGCACAGTTCTCACACTGCGTCTGGAAGGCATGGAGACCAGGGAGTTGCAAACTTTCTTGTGCACAGGTTTCCCCTGGACATCTCACTACGATCTAGACAGTCTGGAGTAGAGGGTGAGATTCTGCATTTATAAGCAGTTTGGTGCTGATGCTGGTGGTCTTCAGAGCACACATTTCATAGCATGAACATAGACCAGGATTCCTATATGGCTATGCATGAGCCTCAGAGGTCGGGCTTGTTAAATAAGTGATTCTTGGGCTCCATGCCCAATATTCTGAGATGGTGGGTCTGGGGAGAGGTTTATGTATTTTGAAACAAGCCCACAAGCAATTTTGGTGCTCAGCCAGATTGGGAACCATTGATGCCTATCATCAGAGAGCATTCAGAGTAGGGAGGGTCTTAAATCTACATTTAAATGTTTTCTCCTAGGAAGAAAGAGGCAAAACACATGCTGGAAGATATATGTTGTTTTCTCTACCATGGGGTAGAGCCAGGTGGAAGATTTTGGAAGTGGTTATCAGCTCAGCAAAGGAAAATATACAAGCTAATAAGAATTCTTTTCTTTTTCTTTTTCTCTCTCTTTTTTTTTTTTTTTTTGCTGAGGAAGATTAGCCCTGAGCTAACATCCATGCCAATATTCCTCTATTTTTTATATGTGTGTCGCTGCCACAGTTTGGCTGATCAGTGGTGTAGGTCCATGCCCGGGATCTGAACCTGTAAACCCAGGCCTCCAAAGTGGAACACATGGAACTTAACCAGTGCACCACGGGGCCAGCCCTTTAAGAATTCTTAAATGTTCTCACCACAAAAACAGAAATGGTAATTATGTGACATGATGCAGCTGTTAGCTAACTCTGTGATGTTAATCATTTTGCAATATATAAGCATATCAAATCAACAGGTTGTACATCTCTGACGTACAAAATGTTGTCAATTATATCTCAGTAAAGTTGGAAAAGAATCTCTGAATCCTTGCTCTCTGGAACTATTCCCTCCATGGATTTCTCACTCACTTCTTGGTGTGAATAATGGATTCCAAATTGTTTTAATTGAAACATAAATTAATATAGATATATTATAGATAGAGAGAGAAAGTATTGGGGCCTTGGGTACCACGTAGGAATCACTGCCACTGCTGCAGGGCACAGATGCCACTGCTCATACCACTGACTCTCCTGGTGCTGGACACTGGATCCTGTGGATGACACTACTGCCGGTCACGCCACCTTTGCCAAATGCATTCTGCACAGTCCCAGCCTTTCTGTCACCATGTCCTGAGTCAGAGTCCAGCATGTGGTCACCCGACTGGTGGAGCCTCGTGCTGTGTCCAACTGCAAGAATCTTTGGGAAAATGGGTTTCCCTCTCTTATGGATGGTGCTCTCTGCCTCCTACCAAGACTCTTTAAGTGTGGAATTCTCCTAACATGGGAAGAGGGTACAGGTTCTAGGGGTGGAGGTTGGGCACGAGAGATAGAAAAAAGAATGACGAATTTCCATTTTTGGAGCAGTGATCTGAGACCAGAACTTGATCTGGTACATTGCAGGGACTTGGGTTTGGCTGGATGAATGAGTGACTAATAAATGATGTCTTTCAACTTAATCTGTTGATAGCTGCTATGAGGTCCAGCTTTTGTCTACTCTAGGTTATACTCACAAATAACTGGAGTGGCATTGTGGGATGATGAAGTGATTACTCAAAATGTCTTTTCCCTGTTTTTGTCTCTCGCTAGGATTAAAAAACCAAGATCTATAAGACTTCAGAGGATCCATATATATACACTGACATTTTATATTAACTTTTATATTTCTTTGTATATGCACATATTTCTTAGGAGAATATCCATAACATTTATCAGTATTTACATGACCCCAACAAAAATCTAAAAACCGTCCTAGTTTAGACACTGTGCTACTCAATCTCTGGTCCATGAACACCTAATAATCAAACTGTTTTAGCAGATCCAATGACATGACATAAATGCTCATCTTTTCCTTGACCATTACCAGTTTGGGACATGATAAGGTAGAAGTTTACTTGTTTATGCTCACTTTCAATTTCTGTATATATCTTTTTTTTTTTTTTTGGTGAGGAAGATTGGACCTCAGCTAACATCTGTTGCCAATCTTCTTCTTTTTGCTGAGGAAGATTGTCCCTGAGCCAACATCTGTGCCCATCCTCCTCTATTTTGTATGTGGGATGCTGCAACAGCATGGCTTGATGAGCAGTGTGCCAGTCCGCACCTAGGATCTGAACCTGCGAACCTTGGGCCACCAAAGCAGAGTGCGCGAACTCAATCACTACACCACCAGGGCAGCCCCATTTCTGTATATATTTTATTGTGGGCTGATAACAAACTCCTCACAGGCCAGCACTGGCTCACAGACCACACTAAGTAGCATTGGTTTAGATTGACTTGTATTCTAGAACCTACCCTGGTGCCAGATAAATAGCAGGAGGGAAAAAATAGTTAATGGGGATTCCATTTCCAGTAATATGGTAAGCTAGGTTTTAAGGCTGCCTCTTCCACTAAAAGCAACTAAAAATAATCGATAAAATATAAAAACCATCCAAAAGCATAGTAGAATAATCAAGAGAATAATGATTTAGGCCACTATATAAATGTGGGAAAATAATCCAGAGAGAAAAGTTGTTTTTATCCTTAGGGCATCTGCCAAATCTGTAAAAATCTTAGCTTTGGTTTTCTCAGGCTCACGAGCTGCAATAGACAGGACATGATGCCCAGAGCTTATTCATATGGGGAGCATAAGCGACGTCCCCTCCCTGAAAATCTGGGGAAACAAGGTTCATATCCTCAGAGTAAGGGTGAAACAAAACAAAATCTCCTTCATCCCCTAATACAAGAGTATTCCTAGGAAATTTGTCTTTGAGCCAGCAAAAACAAAAAGGAACAAACAATTGTTTCTGAGAATTTGCAACCATGAGCTAGCCCTCCTGTGATTTGTAGTCCAAATTTGCTTTATCATTTTGGGCCAAAATAACTTCGTGCCATGAATTTAGTTTATAATCGTCCTGGATTCATCATGACCCAAAAACTAGAAGAAAGAAACAAAAATCTCTACAGAAATCTACAATTAACCTAGGTGTTAAAGAATTTACACAAGTAATTACACAAGGAAAATAAGCAGCTCATAGCAAGAAATGTAGAAATACAAATGGAAAAAAGACGATGATTGAGAAGCACTAGAAACAAAGAGTAGTATACATAGACTCATAAAACTTCCATGTTGGAGTTATGAAGCATAGAATATAACATAACCAGGATATAATATAAACATATAAGCATACATATAGGACATAAGAAAGAATGAAAAATCGAAAATGCCTGCAGAACATAGGAAATTAAATATAACCTATTGGATTTTCAAAAGAACCAAATAAGTTTTTAAAAATTAAAATGAAGGGGGCTGGCCCCATGGCCTAGTGGTTGAGTTCAGCACACTCCACTTCAGCGGCCCGGTTTCAGTTCCCTGGTGTGGACCTACACCACTCATCAGTGGCCATGCTGTGGCAGCAACCCATAAACAAAATAGAGGAAGATTGGCAACAGATGTTCGCTCAAGGCGAATCTTCCTCAAGCAAAAAAAAAAAAAAAAAAAATTAAAATTAAAACTATTTTAATTAAAAACTCAGTTCATGGACTTTTTCTTTGGGCCATGATGGGGTAAAAAGGATGAGATTTACTCTCCTATCTTAAACAACTACAAATTCAGATAAATATATGAAATAATGGAATTCAGACCTTAGACAATAGGCAGCACAAAGATTGTGATACCTTAGAGAAGGGAAACGAAGTGAGGCCTCAAATTGTCCACCTCTCTTCCTGGAGAGCTTCCAGGACACAGTGCAGGGAGAAAGAGCCCTAACAGAGCCCAGCAGTCTCACTGAGTTGAGGGGACAGAGTTGTGAATTAGAGAGGCCAGGACAGCCAATCGAAGGTGAAGGCACATAGAGAAGAGAGCTGAACAGAAATAGCAACTGGAAGTCTGCAGAGGCTTCTCCTCACATCTTGAGCTCATCACTGCATGCATGTAAGGAAACTTTCCAAGGACAGGGAAAGAATAAACCAAAAAGACTACAGGAACAGTACCCAGTGCTCCATGGGACTGGGAATAGTGACTGTTCACCACAGCCAGACTAGAAAACCTTATAATTTGCTGGGCATTGGGTAGAGTATTCAGAAGGGTCTTGTGTCAGTAGTGGGGAATAATTTGCCCTAAAAAACACCAGGCATGCAAAGAAAAAAAGAAACTACAACCCATAAGGCAGAGAAATGAAATGAATGTAAACTAATCTAGAACTGACACAGATGTTAGCATTAGCAGTAAAGACATTAAAACAGTTATTGTAAATGTATTCCTTATGCTCAAAAAGTTACATCAGAGACATGAAAGTATATAAAAGACTAAAATCAAACTTCTAGAGATGAAAATGTCTGACTTGAAAAACACACTGAATGTGAGATGTGATTAAGGGTAGATTTGATATTGTAGAAGAAAAGATCAGTGACCTTGAAGACATAGCAATACAAACTCTCTAAAATTATATAAAGTAAGAATTATTACAATGTATTGTTGGGTTTGTAACATATTTAGATATGATTTGTACAACAAAGCAGCCCAAAAAGGAAGAAGTAGAAATAGAGCTATACAAAGTCATGTTTGTATATCTCACTGAAATTGTTAGTATAAATCTGAAGTGGATTTTGATAAGATAAGTATATGGTAAACTCCAGAGTAACTACTAAGAAAATAACTCAAATTATAGTGATAAATTATTAAATAATTAAAATATTACAGTAGAATTATCCACTTAATAAAAAAGTATCATTAAAAGAGGAATAGAGTGGGGAAAAATACATGAGACACATAGAAAATAAAAGCAGAATGGTATCAGAAATCATTTGTATACATATCAACATTAAATGTTAATGTATTGAAGATATAAAATTAAAGCACAGATTGTTAGACTGCAAACAAAACAAGATACAATTATGCTGTCTTTAGTAAGATACACCTGAGATTCAATTACAAATAGATTAAAATTAAAAGGATGGAAAAGATATTTCAGGCAAACAGCAACATAAGGAAGCTGGAGCAGCTACACTGATATCAGACAAAAGAGATTTTTAAAGAATGCTAGTAAGATAAACAGGGACACTTTATAACGATAAAAGGGTCAACCCACGAGAAAGATAAAACAATTATAAACATATAAGCACCTAATAACTGAGCATCAAATACATGAAAATAAAATTGACAGAAATTAAGAGAGAAATAAACAATACAACAATAACAGTTGGAGATTTCAAAATACTACATTCAATAATGGATAGAACACCTATGCAGAAGATCAACAAAGAAAAAGAAGACTTCAACAATACCGTAAACCAACAGTATAAACCTACCAGACATTTATGGAACATTTAACCCAAACACAGCAAAATATACATTCTTCTCAAATGCACATGGAGCATTCCTCAGGATAAACCATAAGGTAGGCCATAAAACAAACCTCAATAAATTTAAAAAGATAGAAATAATATAATACAGACAATGATATCACAAGAAAAGAAAACTACAGGCCAATTAACTCTTAAGAATATAGACACAGAAATCTTCAACAAAATACAGCAAATCAAATCCAGCAACATATAGAAAGAATTATACACCATGACTAAGGAGAGTTTATTCCAGGAAAGCAAGGTTGGTTTAACTTTCAAAAAAATGAATTAACGTAACATACCATACTAATATAATAAAAAACAAAAACCACATACTTGTCTCAATAGATGGAGAAAAAGCATTTGACAAAATCTGACACCCTCTCATGGTAAAAAAAAAAAAAAAAACACTCAACCAACTAGTAACAGAAGGGAATTTCCTCAATCTGATTAAGAGCATTTATGAAAACCCTAAAGCTAACATTGTACTAAATGGCAAAAGAATGGCTGTTTTCCTCCTACATCACCAATAAGACAAAAATGCCCACTCTCATCACTTCTATTCAACATTGTGCTAGATGTTTTATCTAGAGCAACTGTACAAGAAAAAGAGATAAAATGCATTCAAATTAGAAAGGAAGAAGTAAAACTATATTCTCAGAGGACATGATCTTGTACATAGAAAATCCTAAAGATTCCATGAAAAAACTATTAGAACTAATAAAGAAGTTCAGCAAGGTTGTAGGATATGAAGTCAATAGACAAAAGTCAATTATATTTCTATACAATAAACAATCCAAGAATGAAATTAAGAAAATACTCCATCTATAATAGCATCAAAAAGAATAAATATTAGGAATACTTTTAATAAAATAAGTGCAAAACTTGTATTCTGAAAACTACAAAACATTGGTAAAAGAAATTAAAGAACATGTATGTAAATGGAAAAAAGTTCATAGATTAGAAGACAATATTATTAAGATGGCAATACTCCCCAAATTCATCTCTAGATTCAACACAATCCCTATCAAATACCTAACTGACTTCTTTCTAGAAATTCATAAACTGATTCTAAATTCAGATGGAAGTTCAAGGAACCTACAATAGCCAATCTTATTAAAGGAGAACAAAGTAGGAGGACTCACAATTCTCAATTTCAAAACTGTCTACAAAACAACAGTAATCAAGACAGCGTGGTACTGGCATTTGGATAGACGTATAGATCAATGAATAGAATTGAGAGTCCATAAATAAAACCATGTGTCTATGGTACTTAATTTTCTACAAAGATGCCAAGACCATTCAATGGGGGAAAGAATAGTTGTTTCAGCAAATGGTGCTGGGACAACTGGACAGCCACAAGCAAACTAATGAAGTTGGAAACTTACCATACACCATACACAAAAATTAATATAAAATGGACCAAAGATTTAAACATAAGAGCTAAAACTATAAAACTCTTATAGGGCAAAATCTTCATAACATTGGATTTGGGATGATTTACTTGATGACACCAAAGGCACAGGCAACAAAAGAAAAAATAGGCTAATGGGAGTTCATCAAAATTAAAAACTTCTGTTATCAAAAGACTATCAACAGTAAAAAGACAACCACACAATGGAAGAAAATATTTGCCAATCACATATGTGATAAGCAATTAATATCCAGAATATATAAAGATATCCAACAACTCAATAACAAAAAGACGAACAATTGTATTTTAAAATGGGCGAGAGGGGCCAGCCTGGTGGTGTAGCGGTTAAGTTTGCGCACTTTGCTTCAGTGGCCTGGGGTTCATGGGTTTGGATCCTGGGTGAGGACATACACACAGCTCATCAAACCATGCTGTGGCAGTGTCCCATATACAAAATAGAAGAAGACTGGCACAGATGTTAGCTCAGGGACAATCTTCCTCAAGCAAAAAGAGGAAGATTGGCAATAGATGTTAGCTCAGGGCCAATCTTCCTCACCAAGAAAAACAAAAAGAAAACTGGCTCCTCTTCTATTTTAAATAAATAAATAAATAAATAAATAAATAAATAAATAAAATAGGCAAAAGAATTGAATAGACATTTCTCCAAATAAGATATACCATTGCCAGCATATGCACATATATATGTATGTATGTCTATATAAATATACCTTCCTCACGGGTGTGAAGTGGTGCTTTATTGTGGTCTTGATATTCATTTCCCGACTGTTTAATGATGTGGAGCATCTTTTCATGTGCTATAATACATATATATATATATGCCTTGTGGTTTCTCAGATCTGAGGAAGGGGTGAATTGAGAGTTTTTGTTCATTGGGAATATAGGTTCAATACAGGAGATGAAAATGTTCTGTTAAGATGGTTATATCTCCAAATTGAGCTACAGATTCAATGCAATCTCTATAAAAATCCATGCTGGTTTCTTTACAGAAACCGAAGAGTTGATCTTAAAATTCATGTGGGAATTCAAAGGACTAGACAAAAATTCTTGAAAAAGAAGAACAAAGTTTGAGGACTCACACCCCCGGTTTCAAAATTTACAACAAAGCTCAAGTAATCAAGACAGTGTGTTACCAGCATAAGAGGGTCACAGAAATCAATGGAATAGAACTGAGAGGTCAGAAATCAACCCTCACACTTATGGTCAATTGAATTTCAACAAGAGTGCTAAGACAATTCAATGAGGAAAGGCTAATCGGCTGACAAAATTGTGTATGCACATGCAAAAGAACGAAATTTGACCCTTACCACCCACCTTATGAAAAAGTTATCTCAATGTAGATCAAAAACCTTAATATAAATACTAAAACTATAAAACTCTTAGAAGACAACATATGAATAATCTTCATGACCTTGGACTGAGTAATGGCTTCTTATGATACCCAAAATACATGTAACAAAAGAACAAATAGATTAATTGGAGTTCATCAAATTTAAAAACTTTTGTGCTTCAAAGGACACCATCAAAAAAGTAAAAACATAGCCCCAGACTGGGAGAAAATATTTGCAAATCTTATTTCTAGGGAACTACTCTCTAAAATATTTATAAAGAACTCTTGCAACTCAATAATAGAAAAAAAAAACCCAATTAAAAATGAGCAAATGTGTGATAGATATTTACCCATGGAAGATATACAAATGGCCAATAAGTACCAAAAAAGATGCTTCACATCATTAGCCCTTAGGGAAATGCAAATCAAGAATGCAATGAGATACCACTTCATGCTTCCTGGGATGGCTAGAATCAAAAAGATCAATATTAATGAGTGCTGTGAGGTTGTGGAGAAATTGGAACACTTATAAACTGCTGGTGGGAATAAAAAATGGTGTTGCCACTTTGGAAAAGAGTCTGGCAGTTCCTCAAAGTTTGAACATAGTGTTACCATACGACTCAGCAATTCCATTCCTAGTATTTACCTAAGAGAAATGAAAACATGTGTCCACACAAAAACTTGTACACGATATTCACAGCAGCATTATTCATAATAGCTAAAAAGTAGAAACAACTCAAATGTTCATCAATTGCCAAATAAATAAAGAAAAGCAGTATCCATGCAGTGGAATATTATTTGGCAATAAAAAGGAATGAAGTACAGGGGCCAGCCCGGTGGCACAAGCGGTTAAGTGCGTGTGTTCCGCTGCGGCGACGCAGGGTTTGCCAGTTCGATCCCGGGCACGCACTAATGCACGGCTTGTCAAGCCATGCTGTGGCAGCATCCCACATAGAGTGGAGGAAGATGGGCATGGATGTTAGCCCAGGAGTAGCAAAAAAAAAGAGGATGATTGGCAGATGTTAGCTCAGCAGATCTTCCTCACAGGGAAAAAAAAGGGAATGAAGTACAGATGCATGCTACAAATGGATGAACCTTGAATGCATTGGGCTCCATGAAAGAAAACAGAAACAAAAGGTCAAAATGATTGTTTCATTCTATTTATATGAAATGTCCATAATAAGCAAATCCATATGGACAGAAAGTAGATGGGTGTGTGCCTAGGGATGAGGGGAGTTTGGGAGGGAAATAGGGACTGACTGCTCAAGAATAAATAGTTAACAGGGTGATGAAAATGTTCCAAAATGGATTGTAGTGATGGTTGCACAACTCTGTGACTATACTAAACACCAGTTCTTTTAAACAGTTCAATTATATATATCAATTATATCTTAATAAAGCTGTTCTAACAAAAGTGATGGTCCACATTAAATGAAGTAGAAATGCCAGAACTGCCATGGCAGATTGACGAGAAAGAGAGAAAGACTCAGAGAAGTGGTCATGCTAGTATGAATCTACTCTACAAAACTGGCAAATCCATCAGGTGACTATTTTCGTTGGCAGGGCCCAAATGATACTCTGTTTATCAGGCAATAGGGAATGACCAGGTGAGCAGAGTACCAACCTCCCTGTGTCTGTCCTTTGTAGGCTGGGGCTGACTCTACGAGAGAATATTACAGAACTAGGCTCCCTAACATCAATGGGGATAATAGGATCCCCGAAATCCAGAGAACAGGTGGCACAAGGTAAAAACAAAGGCAAAATTGCCAAAATAGCCAGCAATGTCAGAATGGAAGCCAGGAAATCCCGACTGTAAGGGGTTTATAGGAATGGCTAATAGACCATAGTGTTTCTAGGGGCAAGATAGATGGGCAGCCAACAAGAGTGTCGCTTAATATTATAATTAACAGATTAAGAATGAATGAATTGAAGACTAAGATTAGCCATCCAATAGAAAGTTACAATCCCCTGCTCACTTTCCAGACCTGAGCCAATTGTCAGACTCAGAACCCATTTGTTGAAGGAAAGCCTAGGTCCCTGAGAAAGTACCTGCAACACCACGGCAATTGTGTACAGTAGTAATTTTCCAAGTCCTTCCATAAAGGTACATATGGCCATTTACTCAGGTATCCACACACTGATGAAAGAGAATATCCAGATATTTTTTAAGAGTATTGGATGCATAGTCTAACTTAACACTGATACCTGGGGAACCAAAGCATCATAAACCCCCATTAGAGGAGAGGCATATGGGGAACAGGAAATAATGAGTCCTGTCTCAGGTCCATCCAAATCTCAGTGGGTTCTTTGTGTCCACACATGGTGGTCATGTCCCCAGTTTCCAGATACATAATTGCAGTGGACATATTTAGAATTGTCAAGAACCCTCACATTGGTTCTTTGACTTGTGGAGTATAAGGTTCAGTAAGAAAAGCTAACTGGAAGCCCCTGAAACAGCCTCCTACCCTTGGCCAGACAGAAAATTAAAACAATATTGTACCTTGAGGTTAATGCAAGAGGTTAATGTCATCCTCAGAGACTTAAAGGGTGCAGCAGTGGTGGTCTCATCACATACATATTTAGTTCACCACTGCGGTTCTTGTAAAAACTGGAGGACCATTGCCAATGACAGTGGATTACTGAAAATTTAACCAATAATTAGAAGCAATTACAGCAGCTGTGATTAATGTGATTTTTTTTTAACATTTAGAGTGATCAATTTTCTTTTTTTTTATATATTTATTTTATTTTCTCCCCCCAAAGCCCCAGTAGATAGTTGTATGCCATAGCTGCACATCCTTCTAGCTGCTGTATGTGGGACGCGGCCTCAGCATGGCCAGAGAAGCCACGCATTGGTGCACACCCAGGATCCGAACCCAGGCCGCCAGCAGCGGAGCGCGCGCACCTAACCCCTAAGCCACGGGGCCGGCCCTAATGTGATATTTTTAACAGAGCAGATTTACAGAGCTACTGGTATATGGTAATGACTATTGATAGGCCTAATGCGTTTAATACCCATGAAAAAGAGGATCAGAAGTTGTTTATATTTGCATGAGACAAATAAGACTAAACTTTCTAATTTTTCTCCAGGACTATGTTATTTCTCCTACTCTCTATCATAATGTAGAAAGAAGGAATTAGTATGGAACCACAAAAGACTGCAAGTAACCAAAGCAATCCTAAGGAAAAAAAAGGAACAAAGCTAAAGGCATCACATTTCCTGATTTCAAACTATAATACAAAGCTATAGTAATCCAAACAGTATGGTACTGTCATAAAAACAGACACAGACAATGGAACAGAATGGAGAGCAGTATAATAAGAAATACATTTGATCTTTGTCCCTGGTTTCTGGCACAAAGCTCCTATAACCCGTAGAATTTGATGAGTGACAGGAGTGTCTTTTGTTACTCATAAGGAGCTTCTTTTTGACACAATTGCATGTACACACATGAGATAACTTAGGGTGGGAGCCCTAGATAGACTCAGGATGGGGCTGCTCACCAAAAAGACCGACTAGAGGGTTGGAACTTTCAGACCCACCCACTAACCACTGGGAAGGTGGGGCATGCTAGAGATCAAGCTCTATAAAAACTCTTGGACAAGATTTGATGAGCTTCCAGGCTGGTGAATGCATCCATGTGCCAGGAAGGTGGCACACTCCAGTTCCACAATGACAGAAGCTCCTGTGCTGAGGACCTCTCTGGACCTCTCCCTATGTGTCTCTCGACCTGGCTGTTCATATGTATCCTTTATAATATCCTTTATGATAAACTGGTAAACATAAGTAAATGTTTGTCTGAGTTCTGTGAGTGCTGTAGCAAATTAATTGAACTTGAGGAGGGAGTCTTGGAAACCTCTGACTTATAGCCAGTTGTTCAGAGCACAGGTAACTACCTGGACTTGCAACTGGCCTGTGAAGTGGGGGCAGTCCTGTGAGACTGAGCTCCTAATCAGTGGGAGTTTGTGCTATCTCCAGGTAGAAGTATTGGAATTGAATTAAAATGTGGGACACCCAGCTGTCCACTGAGAATTGGAGAATTGCTTGTTGATGTAGAAAAAGCAGATTGGATCATGCATATTCAGTCAATTAATATTTGACAAGGGAGCCAAGAATACTCAGTGGGGAATGAATAGTCTCTTCAATGAATGGTAATAGGAACACTGGATATTCACACGCAGAAGAATGAAATTGGATCCCTATCTTACACCACTAACAAAAATAAACTTGAAATAGATTAAACACTTAAATGTAACACCTGAATCCATAAAACTCTTAGAAGAAAACATAGAGAAAAAGCTCTTTGACAGCAGTCTCAGCAATGATTTTTTGGATACGACAACAAAAGCACAAACAACAAAAGCAAAAATCAGCAAGTGGGACTACATCAAACTAAAAAGCTTCTGCACAGCAAAGGAAACCATCAATAAAATGAAAAGGCAATGTATGGAAAGGGAGAAAATATCTGAAAACCATATATCCGACAAGGGGTTAATATGCAAAATATATCAGGGACTCACACAACTTAATAGAAAAAAACCCATATAATCTAATTTAAAAATTAGCAAAGGACTTGAATAGACATTTTTCCAAAGAAGACATCCCAGTGACCAACACATACATGAAAAGGTGCTCAACATCATTAATCATCAGAGAAATGCAAATCAAAACCATCATGAGATATCACTTCACACCTGTTTAGAATGACTATTTTCAAAGAGACAAGAGAGAGCAAGTGTTGGTGAGGATATGAAGAGAAGGAAACCCTCATCAGGGGGCCAGCCCAGTGGCGTAGTGTTTGGGTTTGTGTGCTCCACTTCAGTGACCTAGGGTTCGCAGGTTCAGATCCCGGACATAGACCTATGCACCACTCATCAAGCCATGCTGTGGTGGCATCCCATATACAAAATAGAGGAAGATGGGCACAGATGTTAGCTCAGGGCTAATCTTCCTCAGCAAAAAAAAAAAAAAAAAAGGAAACCCTCGTGAACTGTTGGTGGGAATGTAAATTGTTGCAGCCACTATGGAAAACAGTATGGAGGTTCCTCAAAAAATTAAAAATAGAACTATCATATGACGCAGCCATTCCACTTCTGGGTATATATCCAAATAACAGGAAAACACTCATTTGTAAAGATATATGCACACCTATGTTCACTGCAGCATTATTTACAATAGCCAAGATATGGAAACAACCTAAGTGGCCATCGATGAATAAATGAATAAAGAAGATGTGGTATATATATGCAATGGAATACTACTCAGCTATAAAAAAGAATTAAAAATTGCCATTATTGACAACATGGATGGACCTTGAGGGTAGTATGGTAAGTGAAATAAGTCAGACAGAGAAAGTCAAATACCCTATGATTTCACTCATATGTGGAATCTGAAAAAAAACCAAATGAACAAACTAAAACAAAAACTCATAGATATGGAGAACAGATTAGTGGTTACCAGAAGTGAAGGGGGTTGGTGGATGGGCTAAATGGGTGAAGGGGGTCAGCTGTGTGTTGATGGATGGTAACTAGACTTGTGGTGGTCATCACTTTGTAGTGTATACAGATGTCAAATTATAAAGCTGTACACCTGGAAAAAAAAGAAACTAGAAAGAATACAAGTTAACCTTTTTTATTTATACATTATATTATTGTACTGTTTTTCAAATGTTTTTAATAATATCCTTGTTTTCACATATAGTTTGCTTGCAGTAATTATTAATTGACTGAGTGTCTGACATAAATAAATAGATGACAAGATAAACACACAGAACAATTCAAAGTAAAGAGTCGAGGAAGCTCAAGAGTTAACAATCCATATTATCTGTCACATGAGACATTTAGAAACAGAAAGGACACGCACAGGGGAATATAACAGCAGAAGTCACGTGATTTTGTCATGATTACCCTTCTCTGTGTTTGGACTCTGTTGACTCATCCACATGGGCATCTCCATTTAGAGACAAGATTCAAAAGGTAGCATAACTATGCTTCTTCCTTGCCTATTTATGGATAAAGCCAAATTCTTTGTTTGCTTTGTTTCCCACCACTAGTTCTGCTCTAGGGCTGCACATGTGTGGGCAGAATTCATGAAAATATCAAGTTCCTTAAGCAGCTCTAATTGGGGGGGGGGGTCCTGAGTGATTGACTTACTGAGGGCTGACTCAATAAGATTACCAGAAATGGAACTAGTTAGGAAAGAAATCATTTCCTGATTGCCCGTGGGGAGAAAGAAACTTGAATCTTAGGTGGAATAGTCTGGATGGGCGCCAACACAACAAAAGTGAACATGGAGCATTCTCCTGAAGAGGGGCAGATGGAGGGCACCATCCACTCCCACAGTGGAGCTCTCCTACAGCCCTTGCAGGGAGTCCCCTGTCTCCTAGAATCTACTCCTTACTTATCCTGCCATCTCCACCCTGCCTGAATGAAGTGAGGAGGATGGTCAGGGAGGGAGTCAAACAGATTGAGAGTGTGTGCCCTGGCTGACCTGTCCCAGGATCAGGATTAACACAGATCAACACCAATTACTTGGCTGAACCTTTGTCCAAAACTCTAGGAAGGGAAGGGCAAAATGGAACAGTGTCTATTTCAGCTCCTTAGGAGAATATTTAACATTAGAGTGTGTAAAATTATTCTTTCTTTTCCGGGGTTCTCCCATCTCTCCCAGGTTAACTACGCTGTGTTGCAGCAGGTAAAGGATCTCAGGCAAAACCCAGGATACTTCTCCCATCCTCCCTCCCTTCCTTCATTCTTCACCATGTGTTGCATTTACCATGAATTCTCTTGGTATTAGTTTTTGGAGGGGTAAAAGGGTAGACA